ACAGCATCACTGGGTACCACTATGAAACCCCGATGCATGGATTTTATGAGATGAACATCACTGCCAATAGTGTATAGTCTCTTCTACTCACCAAGGCTGCATTTATTTGATCACAAATACAGTAAAAACAGAAATATTGTGAAATATTATTACTATTTAAAATAGCTGTTTTTTATGTGAATATATTATAAAATGTAATTTATTTCTGTGATCAAAGCTGAATTTTCAGCATCATTACTCCAGTCTTCAGTGTCACATGATCTTCAGAAATCATTCTAATATGCTGATTTGCTGCTCAAGAAACATTTCTGATTATTATTAATGTTGAAAACAGTTGTGCTGCTTCATATATTTGTGGAAAACAGTGATATATTGTTTTCAGGATTCTTTGATGAATAGAAAGTTCAAAAGAACAGCATTTGAAATAGAAATCTTTTGTATAACATTATAAATGTCTTTAATGGCACTTTTGATCAATTTAATCAGTCCTTGCTGAATAAAAGTATTAATATATATATAAAAAAAAAACATTCTGAGTCTAACCACAAACTTTTGAATGGTAGTGCATATACCCAGTTATCATGATAAAAAATTAAAAATAAAAAAACATATGATTTTACAGCATTTTTAAATTAAATTTTGTGTAAAAATGGCAGGTCAATAAAATAAATAAATAAATAACAGTAAAATTGTAATCATTTCCAGTTCATTCCAGTACGCCAAGTCGAACACATTGCATTGTGGGATAGTGGATCTATACCGCACATTTCAGCAAATGCAGTATAGGTTATCAGGGATTTCATGCTTAAGACTGTACATACTGTATACTGCAGAGACAGTAAGAGCAACATGTCAGCATACTTAATATCTCTCTTAAGAAAGAGGTTAATTAATGTTTTCCTAAAGAAGTCGTGACAGAACATTGCACCAGACTGCAATAAATCAACACATACACACATGTACCAGTATCCCGACTGCTGTTTATCACACACACACACACACACACACACAAAACCCATCAATCTGTGCTCTCGCTCCAGCAGGCTGTTGGCTGTTCAGAAGCGAGGCGGCTGTAGATGCACTAGTTAAAGCCACAAACACCACAGCAGTAATACAGTCAGTTCACTTTCTAACAGGCCCCATGAGTTCTTCATTGCAGCACTGATGATAAAGAAACCTGTGTTTTAGTGGTGGAGCAGCGGAAGAGCAATATTTTTGAAGTTTCTAGGAAATCAATGATCTTCACAAACTCAGCGGCTTTGACTAATCGTTGCATATGGATTTTCAAGCACCGCTCTGTCAGTGCAAAGACACTAACATCTTATTTTTCTTAATGGTGCAAGATTGTGACCATTTCATCCAACAAGCACATGGAATTTAATTTTTTATGCTTTTTGCTTATGTTTCAGCAAAAACAAAAAGTGCTTGCAAACAAGTATAAATATGAGCACTAATATTGCTCATACTTTGAGCTAGATTTGAACAAAGCCCGAACACTAAGTATTCAACCTAGTAGGGTTATTATAGTCAACTAAAAATAAAACCATTTAATCATTTTTAAAAAATCATTATTTAAAGTAAGAATTAAAAAAAAGAATAAAAAGAAACTAATTCCACAATGTATTCAAACATGATGCTCTGGAACTGTAAAATTATTAAAATTATTATAATTTTTTTTAATGATCAAATTTAACTACATAATATGCCTTTAATTAATCAAATTACACTGAAAAAAATTGGTGGTGAAACAATTTTCACTCAGAAATTGCAAGTAAGTTTCACAAATAATTACAAAGTAATTTACAAAATAATAAATTACAAACATAATTTAAAAAATAAAATAAAACAAAACATTTTAACTTCCTGGGTTTTATTTTATTTAATGAATGAACGAATGAATTTCATCTTTACCTTCAAAATTATTAAAATGAATGAATTAATTGAATTAGGTTAAAATTATGTAAAACAAAAACTCAGTATTAAACATGAATGTTTGAAGTAGAGAGACCAAAACAGTATTTTCTTGTAAAACGTACTACAATAATCTTTTGGAAGTTGTTTTACAACTTCAAAAAGATTCAAAATAACTGCATGTACCAATACTGTCTGAGAAAAATTGTCATTTAGATATAAAGAAATACTCCTTTAGATTTAAAGTTAATACACATATACTTGATACATACAGATATTAAGATCCCAAACTTTGGATATCTTGGGAGCTGTTTTTTTTTACATGTGTGAGCATTATAGCTTTTTATTTATTAGCTGATTAATTATTATAAGCTTTTTATTATAAGCTGATTAATTATTTGTTAAGCCTTCAACGTGAAGAATTTGTTGGGGCCAATAGAAGCGAACGGACATGTAGGAGCTGCAATTTCCAAACGCATGAGCGAATGATATGTGTGTGATGTAATGCACACCAGTGATTCACATGCAATAAAAACTGTAGTCAGCACTAAAGACCAGCGTGGGGGTCAGATTTCTCCAGCAGGAAGAAAAGCGTACATGCACAATATGAATGCTGCAACCTGTGAACATGGGCGGTGAAATCAACACACACTGCTTATATGTCAGAAAGCACACATGCATCGTCATCTGTCATCATGCATCATCATTCACAGTTATCGATTAATGCGCTAATAAGCGTGTTCTACTTGTTAGCTATATATCCTAATTTTGCACTTAGAAGGAACAATTATTTAGATGCAATACTATAATTAACATGGAATGGAATGATCAAACTAATGAATCTGAGTGTTATTAACTAACATTCCTCTAAGTGTCATAGAGACGAAGCCACTGAAGCTATTAGCTATAATGGACATGCAATCCGACAGCATTAACAATTACATTTATGTTTCGAGTTTATTGCCATTATTTGACAGTTCACATGAGTATCGGGATACATTTTAGTATGAATTTAGGGTGTAAACAACTATTTATGGGCTTTTTAGTCTGCCAATTGCAATTGCTTAGAAACATAATTGCACACCTTTTCAGAATTTATAAACAAATCGTACAGGATTTTATGCATCAAGGTTTAATACTACTTAGTATTTTCTCTCACAATTCTAACTTTTTCTGAGAAAAAACTCAGAATTGCAAAATATAAACTCAGAATTCCAAGATAGAATTGTGAGATATGAACTTAGATTTGTGAGATATAAACTCACAATTCTAAGAAAAAAATCTGAATTATAAATTTGCAATTGCGAGAAAAAGTTAGAATTGTGAGAATAAAGTTGCAATTACCTTTTACTTGTTTTTTTTTTATTCTGTGGCAAAAACAAACAAACAAACAAAAAAAAAACTGAACTGTGAGACATAAACTTAGCATTCGGAGTCAGAATTGTGAGATGTAAAATCAGAACTGTGTGAAAAAGAATTGCGAGATATAAATGCATTATTGTGAGATGTAAACTGAGATGAACTGCATGCGAGAAAAAATCTTTTATCCTGTGGAGGAAACAGGCTTCCATAGTTTCCACTATAGCCTATACTAGACTTTTATACCTATAGACTCTCTTAAGTTTGACTTAGTAACTTCGTTTATGGTTGGTAAACTTCCTGTAGACCATACAAAAGAAATTCTAACAAAGAAAACAAAGATATTGGCCTATTTCATATCCGAACTTGTCCGAGACTCATTTGAAGTTCCTGTGTGATGTCATGATGTCATAACTGATGGCGATCTCAGACAAAGAAAGGCCCACAATGTTAAAATGAGCTTCTGAATCACCCACAGGATGACCAGGATGTGATATATACACGCTTGCTTCCTCTTTCCTCGCCTTCATTTTGTGCTCATTGTTGTGGCTTTTCTGAAGGGTAAGGAAACAGTATTTACTAGTGAGTCAGCACATGTCTGGGCAAAAGGGTAGCTTGATCACACACACACACACACACACACACACACATTCACGCGGCTCCTCTGGTGCCTCAGTGTTTGAAGTCATTCAGAAGTTATGCATTAATAAAACCCATTCAACATCCTTAAGAAAACTCATTCAGAAAGGCTGATCCATAAGGCTGGAAATCAGTCATCATGTCTGTGTCACATTCTAGTCCAAAATCATGAAAATGATATTTTGCAAAGGAAACTAAATAAAATAAAATAAATTAAATGGAGCACTGTTTTTCAGGACAATTAAGCACATTTTACCCTCAAATTTTCACTACTGTAAATTTTTCAGTCCCATTCATATTATTGCATCCTGAAGTTTTACTTTTACTGTTCCATGTATTTCAATTATGATATTCATTACTGTAATACAGTATTTTTTACTGTACAATTATCTTAAACAATACTGTTGCACAAATACGTTTTTATTTAAATCAGCATAAAATAAAATATTTTTTAAATTTAAATCAGCATGAATTAAAAGAAGTGCCACAAATAATAGCATTATTTATAAATACTTTTAATCATAAATCATTTTGTTTGTATTACAGCAATGAGATTTTGGGGTAAAATATGCAATATTGTCATGAAAATCATGTCATAACGGAAAAAAAATAATAATAATAATGTACCAAGTGAATGAAGTGAATGAAACAAATAACTTAATCATTGGGCAACTGTGATAAAAAGCTTCTCGTATCGTATTTCTGAAGACAGCTGCAAAATTTGAAGGAGGACTTCAGCTGCTGAGCAATACAAGAAAAAATTGGTATATTTAGAGGTGACTCTATATAATAGTGATCACTGCTTCCCTGCATTTCATCATACATATCCTTAATGAACATGCTAATGAAGAAGCATTTCCCATGCAAGCACACCAACATTCCCAAAAGCTCAAATGTTCATTTGGCCTGTATGGACGGTTTCCAGCTGTGCTGCATGCAAAACTGGGCCCTTCAATATTTGCTGTTTGCCTGCCAAGGTATTCTGCTGCAATGAATCAGTCCAGCACCGAAATGTTGACCAGGCTCATTTTCAGGCCTACAGAGCTGCATGAAGAACAAATCAAGGCATGATAAAACAGTAGCCTACTCACTTTCTCTTGTACTCATCCCGCTCCCGTTTGACTTTGGCCAGAACGTTATACAAGGCTCTCAGTTCTGGGGTGATGGTGTCGATTTGGACCCCAACCCCGTCCGGATGGGTCCAGGTGACCCCGGGCCCCTGGACAGTCTTCACGCGCTCTCCGTGTCTCAAAATATGCGTAAAACTCCAGATGGTGCCTGGAAGTCTGGATTCCAGAGAGTCCGTCTGGACAGCGACTTCACGCGTGAAGGTGAAGCCCGTGTGCCTCGGCTGACTGGAGGCTTGCTTCAGCTGGCTCTCCAGAAGTTTGTTCCTTCTCTCCAGCTCATGGACTTTGGCGAGGAAGCAGCGGAACCTCAGATTGAGGGTCTTGAGAACATGGATGTTGGATCCCAGGTCGTTGCGCAGCGCTCTGGGAACCG